TAATCAAAAGATGTACGAAATGTCAACGAAAACACTAACAGCCGGTGTGAACAGCCTTCAGCCCACAATCCCAAAACTCGTTTTCAAAGTGTTTTCGTTGTCGGTCAGAACATGGTATTACTGCTTTTACAATCAACCTATTGTTATGAAGGAACACCCTAGTGCCTTCACTGCTGTTCAACTTTCTCGTAATACCATGTTCTGACCGACATCGAAAACATGTTTTCGTTGCTAAAACTGGTTTTCGACTTAAAACTTGTGTTTCCGTCCATGTAAAATCTGTGAAACGAAAACCAGTTTTAGCTGAAAACTACCTGAAAACTCACGTTCCACTCATTCCAATCGGTGTCGTCACTAGTTTTTTTCGATTATTTATCGAAGTGGAAGTCATATTTTATCATCTTTAATACGCTATTTCGGATTTATTGTTAATTGGCTGGCAAAAGTAAAATAAGAATGAAAGTAAGAGGTTGCTAATGAAAAGAAAATGAGGGAAAAGCATTTTGGTTATGTTTTTGTGTAGCAAAACTGTAATCAGAGGTTGTAAGAAATGTCAACGAAAACACTAACAGCCGGTGTGAACACGTTTTCAAAATGTTTTCGTTGTCGGTCAGAACATGGTATAGTGATCAAACAGAATTTACTCCAAAGTCAACCGCACAACCGAGCACACACGGGGAAACGGCCACCACAGAATAACATCACCGGAAAGTGTATATGTACATATATTTTGTTTGCATATATAATTTAGTTTATTTAAAATAAAAGCCATTTATAACATTTTAAATCGAATCGCGAGTGTTTTCACTTTTTAAACCAAACGCAGTGGAAAGCCATCTCGTTGCTATGGTCCTCCAAAGCCTCGCCGAACGGCTTGGATAACAAAAAAAATACAGTCCACCAACAAGAAACCAAAAAAAAAACTTTACATCCTTACAAAAACATTTGGAAGGTAGATTAAACATTTAGTGCAAAAACAAAAGTGATTGCAAACAATATCATTTAATGCGTTAAACAAGCAAACATAAAATAACTATAAAGTGTAAACAAATCTGAAACATTAAATGTATACACAATGAACTGAAAAACAAAACTTAAGTTATAACTTGTACAAGCAAATACATAAACAACTACAAAAAAGAAAAAGATATTCAGAAGCACAAGAAGAAAATCGCAACAAAAAAAGAACAACAAAACGGGCAAAGGAAGTTAGCATTTACCAGGGAAGCAGCAACTGCAAAACGTGCACTACCAGTAGGCGAAAAGCAAGGATCAACATTGGCATTAACACACCCAACCACACTCAGATCAAAAGCGCGGCGCAGCATATTTACAATACATGCATTATTAAAAAAGGGGCGTAAGAAAATTATAGTTACATTTCATTACACTGTACGGCAAAATCAACTTTTTTTCTGGGTATTGGACCAAACCCATTTTTTTAAGAGATAGAGTCATAGGTAAAACAGTGATTTCTCCGTTTTTGGAAGTTAGGCTCCGAAATCGAGATATGGGCCTTTGAAGTTCGAAATAGGACCTTTGGTAAAAAATTATATTTAATTAATAATAATAATAATAGATTGGCGCTTACACATATGTTAGTATTTTGACGAGGTTCTCCTCCGCTTTGTGGCGTGCGCCCTGATGTTGTCACACAAAGGGGAGGGACCTACATTTTTACGCCTACTCCGAACGGCGATTGTATTTTTATGAGAAACTATTTTTCATGGCAGAAATACACTCGGAAGTTTGTCATTGCCTGCCGACAGGCGACCGCTGTTAAGAAAAAACATTTTTTCTAATTTTTTTTGCGATATTGCTTTGACCAGGGCTTGAACCCAGGCGCAGCGGAGTGGAAGCACGCACTGCTTACCACTACACCACAGCGGCCGCATATAAATAACTAAAACCCTAAAAATATAGACGTAGTCCTCCTTTTGCTCTTATCTAAATATTATATAACCTTTTTTGTGCAAACTTATATTACAGGTGCTATAGGGGTCAAAATTAAGGTCTTCGAAAAAATAAATTCCTTATATTACAAACAATTTTGAACTGATTTTTAAGAAAATTATATCGTTGTAAAGGTGATTAAACCCCCTTTCTTAAGATATGCATATTTGTATACTTCGTATATAAAAAATTTTGAAAACACACATTTAAATGAAAAAATACATTTTTTTATAAAAGAAACTATTTTAAACAAAAAAATACAAACAGTTTTTTTAAAAATTGGTATCGTAAAGACGATTAAATCCCCTTTCCTTTGATATGCATATTTGAATACTTCGTATATAAAAATTTGAGAAATAACACATTTATAGGAAAAAATACCTTTTTTTATAAAAAAAAATTTAACAACAAAACTACCAACCGATTTTTAAAAGATTGGTATCGTTGCAAAGGCGATTAAACCGTATATAAAACTTCGTATATAAAAATTGAAAAAAAAAACACATTAAAAGAAAAAAATACCATTTTTATCAAAAAAATATTTTAAACCAAAAAAAATTCTAGCCGATTTTTAAAAAATTGGTATCGTTGTAAAAAAACGTTGAGAAAAACCACATTTTAAGGGAAAAAAAAAATTTTTTCAAAAAAAAAAAAATTTAACAAAAAAAATTACAAACCGATTTTAAACAATTGATACCGCTGTCAAGGCGATTAAACCTCATTTCTTCTGATATGCATATTTGTATACATCGTATATAAAAATTTGAGAAAACACACTGAATTTTTCTTATAAAAAATATTTTAAACAAACAAAAATACTAATTAGTAATACAATTGAATACTTTATTTTAATAAAACAGAAAATTATCTTTAATTTTTATATATGCATACAGTTATGTAAAAAATCAAAAACCATGGTGTTTTTATATTTTTATATGGCTTAGACTTCTGTTGCATATACTTTTGCTTTATTTTTAAAAGGGCTGTGGGTGAACAAGAACGAATTAATGCTTAAAACACTAATCATTATTTGTTTTATTTAAATATTGTGTTCAATTGTATAACTAATTAATAATTTTTCTGTAAATTTTTTTTTCTAGAAAAAATTGTTATTCTTTTGTTTTAAGTGTTTTTTCTCAAATTTTTATATACAAAGTATACAAATATGCATATCAGACGAAAGGGGGTTGAATCGTCTTAACAGCGATGCCAATTATTTAAAAAAGCAGTGAGTAATTTTTTTGTTTAAAATATTTTTTGATAAAAAAGTTATTTTTTCCTTTTAACTGTTTTTTCTCAAATGTTTATTCACGAAGTATACAAATATGCATACAATAAGATAAGGGGTTTGATCGCCTTTATAACGATACCAATTTTTTAAAAATCGGTTAGTAATTTTTTCGTTTAAAATATTTTGTGATACAAAAAAAGGTATTTATTCATTTAAATGTGTTTTTCTAAAATTTTTTTATACGAAGTATACAAATGTGCATATCAAAAGAAAGGGGGTTAAATCACCTTTACAACGATATGAATTTTTTAAAAGTTTGCTGAAATATTAAGTTTCTAATTTTTCGAAGATCTGACCTTTGACCCGTTATAGCACCTGTAATATAAGTTTTCACAAAAAAATTTATATACCATATAAATAAGAGCAAAACACGGACCACTTCTGTATTTTTACTTTTTACATGCAATAATTAAAAATAATTTTTTACCGAAGGTCCAATTTCGAACTTCGAAGGCCCATATCTCGATTTCGGAGGCTAACTTCGAAAAACGGAGAAATTACTTTTTTTACTTATGACTCAATCTCTTAAAAATAGTTGGTTTGGTCCAATAGCCGAGTGCTGTACAGTGTTATTACACCATTATTATAGTAATTAATATTGAAAACTCGTTAAACTTATACTTATTACAAAATACAAAGAGCAAAAGAACTGCAACAAAATAAGTACATTTGGGAATAAATAAATGCACTTAGTCTCAATTTCTGAGAAAATTCAAATATAGTGTCATATATATACAAAGCCCAGCTCTATTGTCACAAACAAAAAATATAAACTCAGTTCGGTTTACCCAGTAAGCGCCTAAATACCAAACATACGTATATACAGGCAGACATACATACATGCATGGTGATCCCTTTTTTACCTACATACATGTATGTAGCTATGTACCGATCATCTATTTGCGCATTATTGCAAAGCGCCTCCTCAAACCAAATTAGCGTGCATTTCAAAGCACTGTTGTTAGTCCCCTTTCAGACACGTCAAGTCTTGCTTTCAAGTCTGCTCGTTCGTAGGCGAAGGAGGTGAGAAGAGAGGGGAAGAGTACAGATACCTCCGTACCGTCAATTCGTTTCAAGTTTTCTTGTCTCTTTTGATCTTTTCGTTGCTTCCCATTTAAAGAACCAAGGACTTGAATTCAATTAAAGTTGACGCGTGTGGAAGCAAATAGAAAACACAAAAGAGAATGCGAAAAAAATTGCTTTCAAGACTTGACGTGTCTGAAAGGGGACTTAAACACATATTCTCACCTCCTAACAAATATTTTTGGTATACGTTTTGCGCTTATTCTTCGCCCCCACAAGCAGTGCTGCTCTCAGTATACGGCAAGGGTGGCAATTTCATAGGCACGCGTGCCAAATTTTTCTCTTCTGCTTTCACACGTACACGAGAAAAACTGCGCTGCTTTCACACATACATGAGCATACTCATGAATCAGTGATGCCGACAATTGTGGTTTTGCTGTGATCGTGCCCAATTCATGCGAAACTTTCAAGCAATCAAGTCGCTGCAAGACACGGTGTTTAATATGGATTCGGATGTAGATTTTTTTACTCACTATTATAAGGCTTATTACACGGTATGTATTTCACACATGCAAAGTCCTATGGACACGACATTAGCTTAAACATGTCGTGTAAACACACCAATGAAGTTTTATACGTACGATGCATGTGTACAAACAAAAGAAATAGAAACGGTTCTATTTCTGCGTGTTTATGTCCACGCAATCAGCTCTTTTTGTCGGCAAATAAAAAAATGGAAAACGAAGGAAGCAAGGTTTGTAAGATTTATTTGCATTTATGTAAAAATGTATCTAAATGTTTTAAACTTTTTAGGTTGAATGGCCAAAAGCAGCAATTTTGCGTCTTATTGAACTATGGGAGGGTTACGAGTCCCTCTATAATCCTCACCACAAACTTTACCACAACAAACATGCTCGCCAGCAGGCCTTCAGTGATTTGGCTGAAAAATTAAGTGATTTGCTGCCAACTATTGGTTCCACTGAAGTAAAGGTAATTATTAAAATATTTTGTGATTGAGAAGTACATATTATGTATGTATTTCAAAATTAATTTTCGTCGTTACAGGCCAAATTAACATATTTGCGTGGGCAGTATACCCGTGAGGTAGCTAAGCAAAAGGAAAGGAAAAGTGGAGCCGGCGCGGAAGAAGTCTACATTCCAAGCGCATTTTATTTTGAAAAATTGACTTTCCTCCAAGCCTTTATAAAAGTTCGAAAAGGGGAGAGCAATTTTATAAGTGTAAGTTTCTCTGCATTTTCCCAGCTTCCAGTTCGCTAAGTGAATTTTGGCTTTTACTTTGCAGGGTGCAGATGATTCGCTGGATTCGTCGCAGCATACGGAGAGTGTAATATCCCCTCCTGCATCTAGCAAAAAACGCCCTCGATCTTGTACAGAGCCACAAAACAAGGAACATGAACTTCTTAGTGCAGCAACACAGGCACTAAAACAAATTACGCCAAGCAAATCCAATGATCAAGATGAAGCGGTTTGTAACTTTCTCAAAGCGCAATTATCAAATTTGCTTAGTGAAATAAAAGATGAACTAATTGAGGAGATCACACTTATGCTTTTTGAAGCCAAGAAGAGGCAAAGAATGTCAAATGATAAAGACGATTTAATACTTCCATAAGATGACTTACTTAGTTTCTAAACTCGGTAGCACTTAGTCATATAAACTAATAATTTAATGTTTATTTTTGTTTTAAAAATGTGAATTACACTGTTAAAAACAGATCCAAGTTCCTAAGTACATGTACATATGTACATATGAAAAGTACCTTTTAATGAAATAAAACCTGTGAATTTTTACTATTACAAAAAAATAGTTGTTTCTAGGTTTGTTTGGATGTCTTATACATTATACACTTGTGATCAGCTATTTATGCCGGCAATATTTTGATAAATTTTGTTCATTTTTCTTTTGTTTATTTAATGTTTATTATTTTTTCATAAAATACTAGCTTATTATATAACAAACACAAAAATTATAAAAGATCTGCAAAGTTGAATAGGCTATTAAACTGCATACTCTGAATAAAAAGTTGAGAATTTAACATATTAGCATATCTTTTATAATTTTTGCACAAATTCTGAAATGTGGATATATATGGTGTTTGTTATATAATAAGTTAGACTTTTATGAAAAAATAATAAACATTAAATAAACCACCTTAAATTACCATCTGTTTAAAAAGTCAAATTCAATTTAAATTAAGGGAAATCGATATTTCTGAACTACTGCTTATACCCTGACTAACATTTGGAACAGTTTGTAGGTTTTTGAAATTCTATCCTGGGCGTTTTAACGATTTGCGGGTTCACTAGTTATGTATATATATTTATATATATAGCCCACATTGAAACGTTAAAGTTTACACCAAATAAGAACTGTTGAGTTGATTTTGGCGATATATGCAGTGCCAAGCCAAGCTTTTGCTACTTTTAAATACATTTTTATTTGGAATCAAATGTACAGTGGTCGAACAAATTACAGCCGCAACACACTTTTACAAGTTGTAACGTATTTAGCTTCAATGCGAGTATCGTGTCGACTGCGAGTCGTTTTTCGAGGGTCTAATCGTATCGAAAACCATGGCAGCACTGGGTAGTTCTCGAAGACTTTCGTCGGTTACTAATTTTTGCACGACAGTAGACAATGGCAATGTTGTCGAGTCGTACAATCTAGTCTAATTTACGGCTTACGCAATGAGGATAATGGTTTTTTTTTTTTGTTATTCAATTTTGGTTATTTTTTATAAAACTATAGCTCATTCATTAACAAATCACATGTAATCCAAGTTTCAAACTTTATGCAATATTCGAAAAAAATCAACAAACTGGTAAAAATTTCGAGCTTTTTTAATGAGATTTCCTAAAAAGATTTTGAGTTTGCCAATTTACAGCCTATTTAATTCTAGTAGAACAAAGTACAAGTTTCAAGTGGCTAAAAAATACCGTTGGTTTTTTGAATTTTTTTGTCTTAGTTGCTTCCATACAACGAATAAACACAATTTACTTTTATTTGGAAAAAACCGTAACATCTTCGAAAAAAAATCTAAAAAATCAACAGTATTTTTTAGCCACTAGAAACTTGTACTGTATTCTAATAGATTTAAATGGGCTGCAAAACTGCATATTCAGAATCTTTCTAGGGAATCTCATTAAAAAATCTCGAAGTTTTTAAAAAAGTTTGTGGATTTTTTTTTTCCAAATATTGCACAAAGTTTGAAACCTGGATTTACATGGGTTTTGTAAACGAATGAACTATAGTTTTATAAAAAATAACCAAAATTGGATAACAAAAAAAGTAATATGTTAAAACTTGTCAAAATGTGGTGCGGCTATAATTTTTTCGATCACTGTATTTGCAGGCACAATGGTGAACAGTAGATGTTTGATTAAAAATTAAATTTTTTAATTGCATCCCATTGCCACGGAATAGATCCTTGTGTGTTAAAGTACTCTGTATATTCGTCGCGCACCCTTCTTCCTTCTTCACCGGATCGGTTTGCTTGTGATCTCTGAATATCAGTTAGTTGCACATCGTTTCGCCAGGATCCATTTGTCATATTTACTGCGACAGTATCTTCGGAATCTGTGAGGCTGCTGTCGAATCCATCTCTGCAGCGAATGAAGTTGTGAAGTGCATATGCGGCTAAGGTTAATGTTTCAACTTTTTCTACTGGCAGGAGAATATTTCGATGGAAAACTTGAAATTTAGTTGCTAAGATTCCGAAAGCGTTCTCCACCACTCTACGAGCTCTGCTTAATCGGTAATTAAAAATTTTGTGGTAGTTCGTTGATCGCTGACCATGTGGCTTTAAGATGCGCGTAGTTAGCTTACAAGCATCGTCAGCCACGAATACAAACGGCAATTTTTTTATCAGTAGCAGGTAGCACTTCGTCGTCTGGGAAATTAAATGCATTTGTTTTGATGCCTTCACAAAGCGATGATTCATTAAACGCAGCGGCGTCGTTTGCTCGCCCATTGGTTCCAACGTTAACGTAAAGGAATTGGTAATTTGCGTCTACCACAGCCAGCAATATGATGATGTGGAAACCTTTGCAGTTATAATAGTACGAGCCATATTTCTGTCTGCTAAAAATCTGATAAAAATTATACATATTATACACCAAAATCGGTTTCAAAATAATGTACATTTATTTTATACTTACCAATGGCACCCAAACATTGAGGAAAATTCCATTTCATCTCGAATTCCTTTGCTATATTTCGCCAATCAGTTGGGGTTTTTGGTACCTGTAACCAGTTTTTATATTTTTTATTAAAAGTGGAAATACATGTAGTTCATTTATAATCAGATAATCAGTGAAATCGCGGCCTGAGATATTCGAAATACATACGCTAATTGGTGGAATCTTTCGCCAGTCGCTAAAAACCGGAGAGTGACAAGCAACCTAAACAGAACATTTACTTAAACATATGTTCTGTATCTAGCATACATATATGTATCTATATGGCCCACCTTACAGTTGGAGAAATAGCTTCCCGCATATTTGTGTCCTGTTTTGCAATTAGGGGAGCAACCTGCCGCAGAAGCTCAAAGAACGTTTCTTTTGTCATTCGCACGAAATTTTGGAACACTTTAGGATCCTCCGGCAGAAATTCGTTTATGGCCATGCAAGTAAATCCTTGGGAAGCATCTCTACGCAAAAGCCATTTTTCGCTCCACAGAGACCTACACCCAGAAAAAGGTTTAGTTATAATAACCAAGATTTGGTTATAGTGATCAAGTGGCATAGTTGGATATGGCGAAATAAATATATAGTTCACGAAAGTCTGCAATTTACTTAAGACTTCTAGTTGGGACAAATGTATATTTGTTAATAATTACAAAACGACTACCTTGATTGGACAATATTGTTAGTTGAATAAAATCATTGTTGAGCAAATATAAACAATGCTTTGGTTGATACAAGTTTTCAATTAATCTTGTGAACTTGCCGTAGACTTGAATCAGCTAACCGTTTATTATTGGGAAAAAAAGTTTCAGTTTGACACAAATAAAAATTTACTCGATGTTTGTTGTGTTTACTTTCTTCTTTTATTTGCATATGTTAAGCATAAAAATACGTACATATTTACATAAGTTAGTTACTAAAGTAAATAATACATATGTATATGGTGGTAAGAATTTCCTAAAGAACAACGATGAAACAGGAGCAGTCGTGCGAAAACCCAGGTCAATATTTGCTGGAAGTATACTGCTTTGCTTTTTCCTTAGCTAAATAGACACTTTCAAATTATAATTCACATGAATTATATATCCACTGAAAACCCCCGGTTGGAATCGAACTTTATATTTTTAATTAAACTTTAAACTATGCGCGCACCGAAACAACCCGCGATGATAGCAAAACTGAAACTGTGACAAACAAGTATAGGCATGTCATAGCACACATGGCGCAGCGATCGACATGCCATAGCTTACTGAGCGCTCTGGGACCACATGCGTGTTTCACCCATATACGAACAGCGGTAGCGGAGCAATGATTTCCACGCACAATGCAATGGTCGGCATACTAGCGCATTCAAACGATTCAATAAGTGGGACTGTGTGCATTGCTCAGCTGGCGCTCTTCGTATGTGCTCAGAGAGCGCTCAGCATTCTTTAGGGGTGGCTCACAAGCAGCGTTGCCATTTTAGCCGTTTTCCGGCTAGATTTAGCCGGTTTTGATAGCAACTAGCCGGAGAAAATTCGATCTAGCCGGCAGCCGATTTGTTAGCCGGTTTGTAAAAAAAAGTTAGCCGTTTTTAGCCGATTTTACTATTTGCCTAATTTTTAGGTGCAAAAAGTAAACAAGTTGTTCGAAAGCAATAATGCAGACCCAATGAAGATTTTTAATGAACTCAATGTTTTACTTTCGCATCTATGCTCCCTAGTGGTTATTAGCGCGGACACATTTGATCCTATATGCTCCCCGTTGGAACCATACCTTGCTCCATTTCCTCAGTTTTATCACAGTTTTGAAGAGTATTTAAAAACAAAAGTAAGCACAAACGCTTTTGACCACGAAGCCGAGAAAATAATTCGAGAAAATGGTCGCTATTTTATTATCACTTTAATAAAGGAATTACGCCAACGCTTTCCTACAAATATTGCCACACTAAAAAAAAATTGACTTTTTTCGGTTGGAAATGCATTAAGAGTAATTAAACCAAAAGTATTTGTTCAACTACAGCAACAAAAACACAAATATAATGCCGACGAAATAACATCCATAGAGATGCAATGGCAACGGTTAACGTTACATACCTGGAGTAATTTAGACTCAACTGTAAAATTTTGGGCCGAAGTTTATCAATTTCGAAATGCCCTAGGAGAAAACCCTTTTGCTGACCTTTCCAACCTATTTTTTAGTTTTCTTGTTTTGCCTATAAGTAATGCAGAAGTAGAGCGAATATTTAGTTCAATGAATATAATAAAAACTAAGCAAAGAAATCCAATGTGCGTTAAAACGTTAAACGCTATTTTATATATAAGATACGGTTTAAAACGTGAAGAAAAATGCTGCCATAATTTTAATGTAGATGACGATCTCTTAAAATTAATGAATTCAGGTGATATATACAATAGTGATTCATTTGATGATGAGGAATATACACTC